AAGATATGGGAGTCTCACTATGTTGCCCAGGTTGGTCTCAAACTCCAGGACTCATGCAATCCTCCCACCTCAGCCTCCCAAAGTGTTAGGATTACAGGCGTGAGCCACCATACCTGTCTGATACTTCATTTCTTTTTATGGCTGAGTAATATTCCGTTGCATGGATAGAATACTTTTATCTATCCTTTCATCCATTGATGGGCATTTTGGTTGTCTCTCTTTTTTGGCTATCATGAATAATGCCGCCATAAATATTGTGTACAAGGTTTTATGTGGATATATATTCTCATTTCTCTTGAATATGTACCTAAGCATGGAATTGCTGGGTCATATGTTAACTTTGTTTCACCCTTGGAGGAACTGTGGAGCTGAATTTCACAGCAGCCACACCCTTTGACATTCCCACCAGCAGAGTATGAGGGGTCCAGTTTCTCCACATCCTCACAAACTCTTGTTATTGTCTCTTTTTAATTATAGTCATGCTAGTGGGTGTGCAGTGCTAGTTCATTGTGGTTGTGATTTGCATTTCCCTGAGGTGACTGCCTCTTATTCTCTGTGATGATGATGATGATGACAACCTATATCTATAGAGGGTGGCAGTGTAGTTTACTAAGAGTCAAGGCAACTTATTTTATAATACTGGCTGTGTCTTCTTGGCCAAGTCATTAACTTCTCTGAGCCTGTTTCTGCATCTGTTCATAGGGTTGTGATAATTAAACAAAAAAGGCATGAGAAGCCCTTATCATGATGACTGACATAGGATAAGAGCTCCATAACTGGAATCAATTTTTTAAAGTAATCTTTTTGAATGTATTTTATATATGTATTATATATGTATATAAAATATACATCCATGTATATGTATATAAAATATACATATATATGTATATGTATATAAAATATATGTCTATAAAATACATGTGTGTATTTTTATATACATACTCTCCTTTGACCCTCAAAGTAACCACGTCTGAGTTTGGGATTTGAGATCTGGAAATGTGGATTCTAAAATCCTTCACCTCTTTGAGCCTTGGTTTCCTCATCTGTAAAATGGGAAGAATTGTTATTAGGAATATTAAATGAACTAATAAATGCAAAGTTGTTCAAGAAATATATGGCACATAGCAAGCCCTTCTTAAGTGTTAGTTCTTATTTTTAATAATGCTATCATTAGGAGTATCATTATTTGATTCCTATTTTTACTACTCAACAAATATTGAATGATAAACATATACACTGGACTGGGCATGGTGGCTCACGCCTGTAATCCCAGCACTTTGGGAGGTCAAGACAGGCAAATCACCTGAGGTCAGGAGTTTGAGACCAGCCTGGCCAACATGGTGAAACTCCATCTTTACTAAAACTACAAAAGCTAGTTGGGCATGGTGGTGGTATGTGTCTATAATTCCAGCTACTCAGTAGGCTGAGGCAAAAAAATTGCTTGAATCCGGGAGGTGGAGGTTGCAGTGAGCCAAGATCATGCCACTTCATTCCAGCCTGAATGACAGAGCAAGACTCCATCTAAAAAACAAAAACAAAACATGTTGAAATCGAAAACAAGACATATTACTTAGACCAGCTATCATAGGACCAATGGAAAAGAGCATAATTAGTAAATGCCCCCTTCTGCATTAATACAGAGATTGTGTGTCATAATTCCGTGTAGCAGGTGATGGGACTTCCTGACATTCCTGGGCCCAGCATACAATTTCTTTCTTTCTTACTTTTTTCTCGAAAAAGTGAGATAGGGTCTCACTGTGTCACCTAGGCTAGAGTGCAGTGGTGTGATCACAGCTCACTGCAGCCTCAGCTTGTCAGGCTCATGTGATCTTCCTGCCTCATCCTCCCAAGTAGCTGGGACCGTAGGCACATGCCATGATGCCTGGTTAATTTTTATTGTTTTTGTAGAGACAGGGCTTTCCTGGCTAATTTTTATGTTTTTGTAGAGACAGGGCTTTCCTTACGTTGCCCAGCTGGTCTCAAACTCCTGTCCTCAGGCAATCCTCCTACCTTGGCCTCCCAAAGTGCTGGGATTATAGGTGTGAGCCACCATTCCTGGCCTACAATTAATTTCTTTCTTTCTTTCTTTCTTTCTTTCTTTCTTTCTTTCTTTCTTTCTTTCTTTCTTTCTTTCTTTCTTTCTTTCTTTCTTTCTTTC